AAACCAAAATATCTTAAAGGAAACCTATTTCAAATTAACAGTCGGGAGACGCGTAAACATTGTTCTTCTTCTCCTTCAATTCCTTCCTTTTTTTTCAATATCCAAAATGGAATGAAATTTTCTAATGCTGAGCCTTACCTAAATGCGGATAAGCCCTGTGGCATTTTGCACTATCATTTGCATTTAGTTATACGAAACAGTGAATAAATGTTTGGGAAATTATACCATTTAGTTGCACTTTTGACTATCCTTTCAATATCTCAACACAGAATGCAAAATAGTCATGCAATGAGTTATAGCATCTTGTAGACATCAGTCTTAACAAGCTACGCCTAACATTCCTCTTTTCCTTTGTTTTTTTTTAGGAGATTTTTGACAGAAAAATTGATCGAAGGCATTCGCAATACAGAGTGCTCATTTACAGGAACTCACAGTTTTATCTGGAAGAAACTGTATTAAGTCTGTATTAAGCCGCTGAGAAATGTTGATCTTTTCTTTTAACCCTTGATATCCCTTTCAGCAGGACTGGCGCTTTTTTATTCGGATTTGTTACCTGTGGAATGAATTACCTATTAGTATAAGAGAGTCAGATACCATGTCAATTTTTCGTAAGAAACTAATGGCGTTTTATTATGATAAGTTTGGAATAGAGTTTGAACTTTGAGGTGTAGTCGTAGTAAGTGGTAATGTAGATTGATGTAGATTTTTTAATTTTATATTGTTATAATAGGTGGTTTATTTTTAAGGAGTCTTGTATTCTGTCTTGAGCCTACCTCAGATTGAACAATCGATTGATGTAATTGTCATTTGTTTGTCAAAATGAAACTTGATTAAATTAATTAAATTAAATCAAACTTGAAGAAAGCAGTTTTTCTTGAGCAGTTTTTCTTGAGCAGTTTTTCTTGAGATTAAAAGACGTGCAGCTACCTAAAATTCAAAACACGAATTTATTGAACCGTAAGATTTTGTCATCCTTCTTTTTTAAGTGTTATCTAATTTTTCAAAATATGCATGTCTGTATTTGTATTTTTAGAACTGTCTCGTCTTTGTTTGCAAATCTGGGCTTCCAAATTCCCCTGTACAGTTGGTCACCTTATTTAAGTGGTTATCTTTTGTCTCGGGTAATGCGTACTAAAACTTTTAAGTTTTAGTGCGCATTATTTTAGTGGGTATGATTAAATCATACATTTTGTAAGATACCTGCAAACTTACCTCGAGATGCCTCGGAGTGTCCTGAGTGTGACTCACTATGCGTAAACCGCTAACTCAGTAATAATGGGGAAGCGGTAAACAAACTGACCAAGATAAGCATTGAATCAAGTAGATTGGACCCAAAACTCTGCTTAAATACCCCAGGCTGTGTTGAGCGTGTCCGCTCAATCATGATACTGTTAAAATTTATGCCGTTCAAAGAGGACAAAAGAAATTTCAAAGAGAGCTCTCCCTTTTCAAAGACGAGACCATATCCGGCTGTTTTCTTTATTTGTTTGTTTTGTTTTGCCTGTTTTTTACTTATGTTTATAGCGGCTTTGCAATAGATATATTGCGAAAGATGAATCAAATATATATATTATAAGACGTGTGATATATACAAATAATTAAGGAACTAATGTGTCACGTCGCGTTCGTGTCATGTTGGATGTAAAGGTGCGAATATTGTTCATAAAGGCATCGAATCCTCAGTTGAGTCCCAAAAAAAAAAAAATGCATCATCCACCGTATGTAGGGTGTTGCTGTGTATCGTTATGTGGTACCAATATACTAAATATCACCTATTAGTATATACTAAAACAGTGGATAGCGTTGAAGGCGCGCTCTGATTGGCTAGTCAAACTCCGAATATCCTTTGCTATTTACCTCCGACCAACTCGGGAAAAAATGGCGTTCCGGTTTGCATCCGTGACAAGCGAAGAAATCACTCAAATAACGACGAAGCAGTCCCTGAAAACACAGAGAAAGCGACGAGATTTGGTTTGGCCGTGTTTAAAGATAATGGTAACCAGGAGTTTATCGATAAAAACCAATGAAAAAGTTTTTGTTTACAAATGCAAATTAATCTTGCGTAACCTCACTTGTTCACTTGAAAATCAAAGTTGAATGTTATTTTTTACAGAATGGTTTCAAATACAGAAAGAGTTTGCAACACCATTTAAAGAAATGTCGCCACCAGAGCTAAACAAATGTCTTCAGAAATTTTATCTGTCAGCGAAAAAACGAGATGGAATCGCTGCTGGAATGTATGAATTAAAATCAATTTTTGGTGGTGTATATCATCTCACTGTTTTAGTATATACTAAAACAACTATTCACCTCAGTGTCGGTGGTTAGCGGGGGATATTTACCTCGCCGCTTCGTGGTTCAGTAAATATCCACCACTAACCACCTCCACCTCGGTGAATAGTTGTTAATTATTACTTTAGCTTTAGATAGAGCCAATAAATATATGACTGAATATTTTTTGTCCTTCGGTTATTCATATAGCACACCAACAAATTGAGTTTGAGCGAAGTTATTGTCAGAAACCTTTCCTGTACCGTTTCAAGAATATTGAATCACATTTAAGTTAAATGTATATGATGCTATATTGCTTTGGAGGGAACATGAAGGTGTCATATAGACACATTGGGCCGTAAATATGGAATACTTTACCCAAACACTTGACATGGTTTTGATCAAAGCAAAACTTTTCTCGTAATACCTAATAGCTAGTATGGTAACTGTCGTTTTCATTGACGTATGTCCAGCAATAGTCGTAATGAAGAATTGTTCCATGCTTTGCGTGCGTATATCGAGTTATGGATGCACGCGGGAAGTTCGGAGAGCCCGAGAAAGGCGTAAGAGTTGCTAAGACACAGCCAAACGCACCTTGTGCTCTTTAAACTACTCGAGTGCATTTATAGCGCGATATAACCCGAACCAATTCTTCTATAACATAGCGTGCAGACACAAGTTGTGTGCGGAAAAAAATTAAGTTTATTACAGTTGTATTGGGTTTACCAGGTAATCGTGTTCTACCTGAAAACATTATCTTCAAGAAGAGTACGACATTTTTTAATTTCGAAGACATGTTTCGATGTTACGAACATCATCGTCAGTTACAGAATATTTGAAAAACTGTTAGGACCATATAACAACTAGGCGAAACATGCATAATTAATTATGATTGAGTGACAAAAATTACATATTTGAGTGAGTAACAAAGTGTCGGAAAGAATATAAAGCTTAAAGCGTAAGCGTCATGTTGACGTGATGAACTTGTTGGTTTAAATTAGGCTTTTCCCAGTTTATGTGCATAGCCTCCTTAAGCTTAAGTTGAAATATAGTAGGGGCGGAATCAAGGATTTCAAAACAATCCGCAGAGCAAGATTGACGACAACTTTCTGAGTTTTGTAAATGTTTGAAGATATGTGAAGACTTGTCTGAGGAGAGATGTTCACAATAAACAATGGAAGAGAATAAAAAAATCAAGGAATAAAAGAATAAAATAATCGTAGCACGAATTGTTCTAAACAAATAGTTTGGCGCGAATTGAATCGCACTGTTTGTTTAGCGTTGGTTTCAGGTCTTTGATAAAAAAATACTTCAAAAACAAGACAGTCAAATTTGTTCTGACACTTCCTTAAGATTCGAAAACTCTGCAAATGTAGTACGAAAACAGTTGGCTGACCTCAGTCGGAAGATCAACGTAGATCTTAGCCCAGTTTATACAAGTAAAAAGATCAAGAATGAAATTAGGGTCAGGGAAGACAAACCGCCTCTGGTGAGTCAACAATGCGGGGTGTGTTCATTTCAGTGTAGCCTGTGTGATGCAGGCTATGTCGGCTACACGTGCCGACACTTACACCAACAAATTGAAGAACACAAAGGATTGGCAATCGGACACCACCTCAGATAGCAGCACGACATGGAGCCAGAAGACATCACACAGAGTTTTCGAATCTTAAGGAAGTGTCAGAACAAATTTGACTGTCTTGTTGAAATGTTTTTTATCAAAGAACTGAAACCAACGCTAAACAAACAGTGCGATACAATTCGCGCCAAACTATTTGTTTAGAACAATTCGTGCTACGATTATTTTATTCTTTTATTCCTTGATTCTTTTATTCTCTTCCATTGTATATTGTTTACAGTTTTTCATATATTTTAGCGTTCGCCACATTTTATCGTCTTCAACTTGCTTCAACATATTTATGCTGATTTGAAAAACTTACTCACTTGAAAATGACCTCAGAGAGGTCGAAACGTCGTGACTTCTTAGCGCTAGCTTTTATTTCAAAGTTTATGTTTAAAATTCAGCAAACGGTACAAATTCAACACAAAATATTTTATTGAACTATACTTTTGGTACATATGGACACTTAAAAATGATATTCACCGTTCTACTGAAGAGCCCGCAGGGTCGGAAAGCAAGTCAGACAACTCAGTTTTCGCATCGCGTTTGGGGAATGATGTATCGTCAACCCAAAACTAATTTCGTCCCTTAAAAGAGCCGCATGCTCATTGTTTTTAGAAACGAGTTTTATTTGACTTCGAAAAACGCTTCAATATCCGGCCATCTTGACATCACGCTTGGTCAATAAAGCATATATACCAGTTCTGTTCACCAGCCAACTATCAAAGGCACACATTTAAAAACGATTGGCAAGATGCGTGGTTTTATAAAAGAGACCCACCAGTATTTATTCACATTTGTCGCTATATCAATCGTTGCTTTCTTTAGCAACAGGAGAAATTTAAATCTGAATAGCTCTTCTCTTAATGGCGAAACATGTAAGAACGTTAACTCATACACAAGGTATAAATGAAGAAACGAAAAATAAGTAATTCGATATAAATAAAGTATAAAAAAATAAACCCACAATTCCTCTTTTCGCTCCGACGAAGGGTTAACGCTCAAAACGTCAGCTTTTGTAATCGTTACGGTGGCCAATTTACCACTTCAACTTTGTTGATATATCCAAATTATTTCGTTACTCCCACCGACGCAGCCCCAAACAGTTTCTTTCAAAACTATCAGCATTTATAAATAAAGTAGGCTATGTAATCTACGAAGGATGCTTTTTGGCGTTTTTATAATATACGAAATGTATTTAAGACAGCTAGTAAGGGAGCTTCGACTCAAGCCTAAGAAATTTTTTAGCAAAGTATTCCGCGGTACGTTTTCTTGATTGCAGTCCTGAATCCTGGAAGACGCATACAGTACATTACGGGGTTTATGGATGAATTTGAAAGCATAAGTGTTGCAGAAAACTCGAAGGCTAATATGTTAGTTTTACTCGAATAATTTGAGATGTTGTTGAGGACGGTAATTACACAAAATGGAAGATAGCAGAGTAAAAACATGAAGAAAACATAAAGTGTGTTTATGGCAGACCTTCGTAAACGCTTTGAACGAAAAATTTCAAACTGCGACATCTGTGACTCCATTTGATCTTGAATTTGTACTTTATGCCTTTTAACAACTTGATATACTTTTAAATATACGAAAAAAGTGACGAGAAGGGACACAGATACAACAACTGCTGCAAACGTCGAGTAAACACGAAATCCCTTTAGCCAAACAAGGCTAAGGAGAAAGTTTATTAACCACAAAGCCATCTGCATAATAACAACTCTTTTTTCCGTCACCAGTAGTCGATATCGAAGGTGCAGTTTAATCGCCAAATATCTATCCAGCCCAATGATTGTGATATAAAGGAGCGAAATGCCACTTAGAAAGGAAGTCGCTATGCTGTAAGCTGCCAAAACCGAACAGGGAGGAACTCTGTTCTTGTAAACGGAAAATAAAACAAACATGTACAGTGGATGGACGATGGATCCTACTCCAAGATCAGTCAAGGCCAAACCAAAAATAAGATAATTTGAGATTGATCGCAAGGAGGGCACATAGACGAAGCTGAGAAGAATCGAAACATTTCCCAAAACTGCGGTGAACGTGAGCAGAATGTTTGCCAAAATGTTGAAGGCTTAAGGCGTATTTTGTTCACCAATGAGTATCATCATAGGTGTCTCAATGAAACATCGAGTTGGAGTTTCGTTTGAAGACTTACCCATTAGCAATCTTCATAGAGCAGAACAGACCTGCTCGACTTGAATTGCTAAATGTCTCTTTTTCGCCTCCGCGGCGGAAAATTAGAGGCAACAAATTTAGCAATGAATTCTGCAGATCTTCCCCTCTCGTAATAAATAGAGAAAAAAGTGATATATGAAAAAACACCTGTTGTGATAGAAGTGTCGACAATAATTGGTTACGGCCAAAAATAAATTAAAACAAAAAAGTTAATGCTGAGATCTATCAACGACATCTATCATGCTAGAAAAAAGTGGAAAAATACTGACTGATGAACCGCTGTTCTGACTATTTTTCTTGCTTATAATTATACAATCTTTCATTTCGATAAAAATAATTTGTTGCCTCTCCACGAAAAAGTAAATTTTTGCAAAAAGGATTAAAACATTAATAAAATATATGTATTATTCCGAAGCACCATTACGGTTGAAGTTAAGAAAATTTATTGAAATCATTGCACGACAGACCTACTTAACAGTTAAGTCGGCCAAAAATTGTCATTTATTTCTTTATTAATCTGGCTGCTGACAAAAATTTGTGGCATAGAGAAAATTTTGATTCTTGGTTTAAACTGCGTTCGTTTTCTTTGTTGTACCTTAAGAATCGCAACGTACTTGAGAATCGTAGGTCTATGACAACAAGCTTCAAGAAAATACTAGAAATGACAGTTTCAAAAAGAAACAAACAAAGAGTAATTGAGTGCCCTGAAAATTTCATATTCCTTATCCAAGTTAAGATGAAGCCGTTTCGATATTTTAATCGTAGACGGCACAAGTAAGACAAGTACAAGATCAACTTAACTAGCAAGAGAGATGACAATGTAACTTTCCCTTTTTCAAGACCACCTCTTGATAAAATGTGCTTAAAAAGAATCATAAATCTAAATTAGAACCATGTACACATGTATACTTAGTATCCTGCAATGCAAATAAATTATATGGCCTCTAGAGAGGAAAAAATCAATTATTGTGCTAACATGAGCATGCAAAGAGGTGCTGTGTGTTCAATTAAAAACTGTGCACAATAACTCCGATTAGTTTTTACTTCGCAGATGTATAGTGCTTTTCGCGATCGCTGATTGGCTACTTTTAGAGATAGGCGAGTATTATACACCACCGAGCAGCCGAAAAGACAAAAACGCACGTCAAGAGTTTAATTTCGGACAATGTTGGGTATATTGACAGAAGTAAACCCCTTCTTTTGGTTTCTGTGTAATATTAACTAAAGTAATTTAAAACCTTAGTGTTCGTGAAAGTTGTGGGTATTTACCTCGCTGCTTAGAAGCTCGGTAAATATCAATCCTCCCTATTCATGATCATCTCCACTGCGGTGAATAATTGTTAACTATGGCTAGATGATATAACTCGATGATAAATCCTATCGAAACTAAGAAAGTCAATCTGAGGTCTGCATTGATAGGAACGTTTCAAATAGGTAAAAACAAAACAGTTACAATTTCACTGTCGTGAACTTTCAGTTAGTAAAAAAACTGATATTTCAGTCGTCGAGCAAAGAAATGTGACAAATTTGACTGTATTTGTCTCGAATATTTGCTGAGAACCAGTCACGTCCAGAACACCTGTCAAATATCATTGGAGCTCTGTATGTTTATTTTCATTGTGCAAGCTAAGATTTCATATGGAGGGCAGCTCAGAGTGAGCAAACCCGTGAGCAGAACGAGAAGAGTAGAAAATGCGACCGCTTATCCCTTTTTGGTTTTCCATTCTTAACAATAATTTCCCTCGTACATTTTTTACTCGTTCAAGGTTTTCCTTAATCTTATCAATCCGAAATAGAGCAGCCAGGCATCTAAAACTACAAAACAGAGAGAAACCCTGCGAAGTAGACCGCGGTGAAGGTGGTCTTGCAAGCGAAACTGGATTGACTATCTCTCTTCCTGGAATAAATGTTTAAGGGAAATACAGAAAAACACACTAATTCTTACATAGGCCATCTATGAATCCCAACGTTTAAAACGGGAGACATTACTCTATCCTTATTCGGTTAACGCTCCTTGCAATTGATTTGAAGCTCTTTGGTAACTTTTTCCCAAACTAAGGGAAAGTACGTTTTTTATTGGGGAGGGGGTGGGCCTGGGTATTTTAGAAATATTTTGCCAAAAAAGTCGTGGCCCTCCCATTTTTCAGATTGGATTAATCCATGACCCTTCATAAATGCCTAAACAAAAGGATCTGACCCTCCCTCCACCTCCTCCAAGACAAAAATAGCCGGAAGTGAAAATAACTGACCGGAAGTGTTGCTCATAACCGAGTCTGCGCACAAAGCAGTTAATTGCGTGGCGTTGCACTGTGAAAACTTGAAAATGGGCAAGGATCTGCGAGGATTAGAAAGGGGGAAATGCGCTTGTGGAGAATGCGAGGATTTCATGAGGTCAGATGGAGCAACTTGTGGCTATTGTGGCTGTTTGCCGATTCGCCATTCTAAAAAGGATGCCCACAACATTACCGACGTCAAAATATGGACGAAAGCGGACACGGGTCGAGAGAGACAATTACATTAGTTGGGACGAGATATGTTTTTGACATAATATTTCGACATGTGTTTAAAATGATGTAGGTTGATTTAGACTGGTAGCTTTGCTTGTATAGATAAGTTTTAGGTTTCTATACACTTCGCATGTTTGCTAACNCAAGAGTAGCGATAAGCATAGGCAATAGGCCAAAGTAGAGGTGGTGTGCTTTGAGAGTTTGACTTTATGGTTGCCCGCCATATCGACTGCTCGAGCTGCAAACTCATTCAGCGCAGTTTGAGCTATTTTTGCTCAAAAAAATAGACAGCTTTTTACCAACGTATCCCTAATTGACCTAGTTTTTATCTTAACTATGATGCAAAGGAGGTTGTGACAAAGAGCATTAGTGAGCAAGGAACATTTTTAACAGAGGACAATGACTGCATCTTCAGAGTTATTCAATTATTCCGAGAACGGTCTGACGGATATGGTAATTTCGCAATTTGATTTCTCGGATAATATATTGCTGTGGTGTACTTAGTGAGCCATAAACTGAGATAAATAAGCACCAATTTCAGTTGCACTAACGCACTAAACTAAAACAGTATATAAAGCTGATGTTCCCATCCGCACAATCTTGATTATGGAGCAACTGAATTGAATCCAATGGGTGTTTCTAATCACCTTGACCATTATTGTCCGGAAAGTAGTTCGAAAAAGTAGTCCGAAGTTCGTGCAGCTTGGATAGATATGACCCCAAGGGATAATTTTGAACAACACCTTTTTGTCCACAAATGGATCAAGATGTCGAACTAGACGAGTTTTCAACAGGGAATTTTTACCACTATCAAATTACCATAATAGAGGCTTCCATTCGTTCCAATTCAAAAGGATGGCCGGTAAGAAATCGAAGTGAAATGTTGATTGGCTGTCTGCTACAATGAGTCTACGTAAAGTTTGATATCGTTGGAAGCTTACTTTTGAGTCGCAACAAGTTATTCTTAGTGTTGTAAGTCTGGTTACAACGTCTTTTTTTATTTTGGTGAATTCAGTCTCTAATGAGAGAGTAGCCAAGTTAAAAACGGAAGAAAAACATTAAAATAAGTTATGTATCTTATTTTAAGTAGTTTTGTGTGATTTCGAAAAACTTCATGTCCTCTTTTCCGTTGCTGGGAAAATATATTTTGATGGGATAACGATACCTGTTAAAGTCCCCTCAAGGACAATTTCTTAATGGAGATTTAATCTTTCTGACCAACGATGAGAATAAATTGAAGGAAATAGAACAATAAGATAGCCGGGAGAAATAATTTAATGAACGTTTCGCGTGCTACCTTGTACTTAGGACAGATAATTTGTGATAAGTGTGGGCTTGTTGCGAGGACGTACACTGATGACCCTTGTTGATATATTTATTTAATCTGGATGACGAGGACGAATGGCCTGCAGCTGCTAGTGCGAGGGCAGTCCCTGAACTACTTTCACAAGCAAAGATTTTCCTAAAATATTTCATAATATGTTTCTAATAGAGGAAGGGTCATTTTGATGTAAATGGGGACTCAAGTAGACATAAAATGATGACATGGTTAAATGTTGTCGTTTTTGCTTCAGCATGTAGGAATCGTTGCAATGCAAGGGTGCACGTAGAATCATTCTTGAGAGTAATTACGCTCAATCTTGCTAAGGCATTTTCGTAGGAACAGTCATAGAAAGTTCGCAATGACATATCTTGAAAAGTTAAAGCAAAAGACGTATCTCTTTTTCACAGTTTTTCTTTGCTCAAGGTATTCATATTTCACATTGATTAAGAGGCTGTTTTATAATATTACGAATTATTTGCAGCTTGCTCAATTTTTCTTTTTGCATCAATCTTTTGATTGCTTTATCTGATCCCCGGCAGTCGCACACTTAATAAGCTGGAGTAGAGATAGTCATCAGTTTGAATTCGTGTAGATCCTTTTGTTTATGAACAGTCCTGTAAATATGCAAATGAATTTTGCCATCCGTGATAAACTCACAATCTTAAAGAGCAAACTTGCGGGTTAGTGTATGTACCTCGTAAACATTTTGGGGCCCTTTTGATCTCTAAACCTGAGCATACTTCTGTAAGTGAGAATACATGCCCCTCAATGAATAGAAAAGAGAGCCACCGTATTGACTGCGGATAGAGCCTCATCATTTTGAATAGTTCCTTGAGAGCAGCAAGAGGAGCGCAGCCCAGCGCAGCGCAGTCCAAATAGGAAAGGGTGGCCGGAATGCAATTAACTTGTTTGTCATGTGTACTCTGCACGTCAGTGATGATATTGGTATGAAAAGTTTGCTTTCAAGCCTCGAAGATTCATTTTTAGGCTGGAATATCTGGTGGTGAAATCTCCCGTCTGATAGGTGAGCCTAATGCTTAGTACCAGAATATTACAATTGTAAAGAAGAGTTTTCAGGAGGTAACTCATAATTTAAAAGCGTTTTGGTTTCCTTTTGGCTGTAGATCGCGTGATTTTTACATTTTCTTTTTCTTTTTTAATGTTCTATTTTTTTTCGAAACACAAACTTAGCATCAATTTCGTAACTTTGTCGAAGCTTTCATGCAATAGGTAAATTCTCCACTGGAGAAAGGAACTCCAGGTAAATTTCACGTAAAATCGGAAAACTTCACTCCTCTGGTTTAATGACTACAGATGGATCGGTAACAATCGAACATTCGCGAGAAGGATTTTATTTTACGCCTACAAAAATGGAACATGAAACACCAATTTGGGTGGACATTGAGTTTGCTATGATATCAATAACAATAATGAATGCCTCTTGGCATCTGGCAAACAACTCGAATCCAAAATCTACAAACATTTGAAGAATTGGAGCCCTGATAATAAATGGTTCTACTAAAAGTTGCAAACTTACCAAGAGTTAGGCCAGGTTAAGACGTCATGCTTCTGCCCTGCCGAACTTAATTGCGATTAGGTCCGACTTTAGCAAGAAATGTTGCAAAATTTAATCGTTATTGTGAGTTCGAAGAAAAAAATACGTAATATATAAACGATATCTATCCTCCTTATCAATCCTCGGCAAGTTGATTAAGAGAGGAAACACGCGTACGAGAGCTATAAAAAAAAGTGTGAACCTCGGTATCTACTTGGTAAACATTTCCTTTGAAGTGTACATGAGCGATGCATAGTTAAGAGAATAATTCCGCTAAAATACATCTGCATAATTTATGAATTTTGTTTGGCTCAGCGGAGGCACAACGTTTGAAGCGCTGCGCGCCATAGTCGTGTAGCACGGCAGGCCTTGCCGAACTCAATTGCTTGCCGGACTTTCTTAAAAAGTTAAATTCAGACGCCGTGCTTTTCTCGAACTTAATTTCTGAATTGAGATTGACATGGCAGGAGCACAACAGCTGAACTTGGCCTTAGGTATATAGCAAAAAGCCGTTTAAATTTGCCAATAGCTTTGGTCTTCCGTTACACTTAGACAGTTTTGATGAAGCAACCTAATAGGTTTGTATTTACGCCTGATTAAAAGCATTGTGAGCATTTTCAGTTATGCTCTAATGTTTGAAAAGATTTAGAATTCTCTGTGAATTCCAACAGTGTGAAGATGAATATCCCTTGAGCGATAATGTCAACAGGCAACTTCTAGTCTGCATCAAGAAGATAGCAGTTCGATATTTATCCAAAGTGAAATTATCAACGAGGCATTGTACACCTCATTGGATAAACTCAATTGGAGCACACAATTCACGTCTAATAATGCGAGGTGTGGCGCGCCGGAATGCTAAATAAAATTGTTTAACTAGAGTGATATGCATGTCAAATTATTTTCTTAAAGATAATGTTAAAAGCTTTCGTTCAAGCCGTAACAAATTAATTTTGAAATGGAATTTCTGTTGACTTCTTCTAAAAGGTGGGCTCATATTTAGTAACAAAAAAATTCCTTTAAGGCGTGAGCTAGGAGTTAATACTTGGATGTAAATTACTCTTCAAAAGCGATGTTTCTGATCGTGCTCATCATGTAACTCTCGGCTCAGACTATTTTCCTTCTTTTACAGAGATGAGTTTCGTTTCACTTGAAACACTGCGTTACTTGCATTCATCGCACCCAAGTTCAATGCACTTTTTTCAGTTTTTGAATTATAACCTCGAAAAAAGATTTCAATATCAAAAATGCAAATACTGTCATCGCAGGTTCAAGCCACCTCACTCCAATCATCTAGTTTTAACACGAATGTCATATACACCGATTTGAAAGGAAACCTTTACCACAATTGCCAATAATTTCGCAATCTGATTGGCCAATTTGCCGTTGTCAATAAGAGTTCAGACGACGCTTCTCACGTTAGCATGTCACGCACTGAGTCACGTACTGAAAGAATCGTTTCATTTAACGTCGATGTTTGATAAAAGACAAATCAGTTGTGGTGTAGCGTGGTCTGTAACCTTATAAACAACGGCAACAACGGTATTCGTCATCACAGTGGTGAAGATTTGTTACATCACTGCGAATGGAATCGGGGAAAGGCAGGCAACGGCCCAATATTTTGGGCAGTTAAGGAGGTATTCTTGTCAACATGGCGATTTTGATAGCTTTTTCCCAAACTAAGTTCAGTTAAGATATAGATTACTTCGTGATACCAAGATCATTGGCCAAACAAAGGTAACTTCAATGCCTATTTAAGTGAGGGCTTTCCCATTCTTTGTATCAAGCGATAGTTCATTTCAGCAAGATCGTAGAAAACGAATCACCGATGACTAATAGCGTATTGATTTCTCAGTTAAGGAAAGGCAGCTTTCTGTCAACGCATGACCTAGTTTTTATCGTAACTAAAATTCAAAGGAGGTTGTGGCAGAGAGCATTAGTGTGCAAGAAAAAAATTTAATAGAAGATAATGACTCCATCTCCCAAGGGCGTGGCCAGGGGGGTCCTGGGGTGCCCGTAACCCCCTTTTGTAGGCCTTTTTTAGAGCAAACAACCTACAATATTCAGGTAGCGAAAACTCCATGACAATATCTTGGCCGTAAAAGCCATTGTTGAAAAGCCCACTTTTAAAATTTGTTTTATTTTTTTGTAAAGTATTTTCTGCAGAAAAACGTGTTCAATGCGTCTTCTTTCGCTTTCAGATAAGATGAAGCCGGCTATTTTAATCACCGTTCTTATCTTGGTTGCAATAGCAGCTATATCAGCAATCCCCACTCCAGGCCGGCGGTTGAATGATGAGCGGCGTCCCATGCACGAGTTTAGCAAGGTAAGTATCATGTTCTCGGTGTTGAATACATTTTCGGTTGTATTTGATACTGAGGATCTGTTTCGGAGATTTTTATCTCTTTTTAAATCTATTTCATTCTTTTCTGTAGGAGAACTTCAGAAACAAACTCATGGATTACATTATGAATCACGAGGTAACAAAATAACTATCTTACTACTGGTCGGTGATAGAAATAAGACCTAGAGCCTGCGGGGGGGGGGGGGGTGTGGGAGAATTTTTGGTTTGTGTGTGTGCAACTGCCGGCTTTTCTGCGTTTATTTTATTTTAAACCAAAACATGGGGGAAAGCGGGCACCCCGTGTTTCTCCCCTAGAACCGCTACTGGAAATGAATGGCGGGATACTTTAAATCATTTTAACGAAAAATTTTGCAAGAATACACTCTTTCTATCTTTCTCTCTCTGTATACAGAAGAGATGCAAGTATGATTATTGCAGCCCTGGTGATAGATGCTGTGGTGGAAGATGGTAAATATACTTGAATTTTGCTTTTTCCTTTACACGCGGTACCTACGCTTTTGCTCCCGATCAGATTTAGTTATGAATAGGACGTGAAACATGTATGTTGGCAAATCGGTATTTTCCTTCTCCCGAAAAAGGATTACTTAGATTAACTAATTGTCTCTTTATTTTTATTATTATTATTATTATTATTATTATTATTATTATTATTTTCATTTATTTGCTTATTTATTCATTCATTC